ACAAACAGACAGACTGCAGGGTCACTGTATGCCTACAGGCTGTGCCAGGAGGTTAGGGGGCGCCCCACACAAACAGACAGACTGCAGGGTCACTGTATGCCTACAGGCTGTGCCAGGAGGTTAGGGGGCGCCCCACACAAACAGACAGACCGTGACTGAAGGAATGAATGAGCTGGGAGGTTAAAATTAAGCTGGAGGGCATGTTAGTGTGTCGGCCGGCTTTCTGTGTTCGGAAGATCATTACAGATAATTGCTCTAAGCCTAAACCTAAACCTAAACCTAAACCTAACCCTAAAGCCACACGGCTGTGAGCCTCATGTCATTCAATGAAGTGGCACCATGAGCCTCGTTCATCTGGAAAGGAGACCTGATAAACGTGGTGTGTATTGCTAACTGTAAAGTGGATATTTCAGTAGTGTTGTATACTCCTACCAGAAAAGTGTTTACATTTTTGTCTGTGACCACGGGATATGCTTTTCCTAAAATAATTTTTCCCAGCAGCAAAATATTTTAATATTGAAGACTAATCTCTTTTTAAACAACACAGTGTACGTTACTTATATCAAGACTATTTATGCATGAAATAAATGCAAGATAATGCAAATATTTAATATCTCAAACCCAAAACAAATTGTTAAAAATATCTGGTTTTGTTGTGGTTTCCATGACTGTTCACGATGCTCTCACTCTCTTCCAGTAACAAACATTTTCATCATCTCTCTGTAATAAAGGAGACCTTAATGCTGTTCTGTTATTCGCAGATTGGTGATTATTGTCTGTTCCTCCTGCTGCAGTCAGGCTGGCTGGTGTCTCTCCTGCGCTCTATCATGTTCGTGGGCCTTCAGGTGGGCTACCATCCCATCCGCTACCCCTCCCGTCCTGGTATGGGGGGCCTTGGACTGGGCAACATGGTGCAGGTCCAGGCATCGGCCGCGGTGCCTGAGACGAGGTCAAACTGAACTGGCCTTACTTACTAAGTGGTAATGAGGCACGTACACACAATATTATATAAACATGTTACACAAACAGAATGCCTCAGGCAGTTAGGATTCTCACAGTGTCATCTCACGCTTTGTAGGTCACATTTCCTGTGTCTTAAACCCCCCCCCCCACAAGAGGGATATCTAGAGGGATATCTCTGAAGATAATTGAAAAACATAAAATGTATTTTATGTATCCAAAGTACATTTGTACCATCCATCCATCCATTATCTAACCACTCCAATACTGCCGCATCACAGTGTGTTATCACTATAAATTATTGCGACTTTCAGTTATAATTGTAAGATGAATCTGTTTAGCCTTGAGCAAAGGAGACTAAGGGGGGATATGATTCAGGTCTATAAGATTCTAA